TAGATGTATGATAAATATAATACTACAGATGTTTCAATGATACGAACTCATTTCTAATGTTCTCTGGACTAAATAATAATAAAAGAATCCCCACGGAGATGCAGTTTTATAAAGTGAGGTCCTTTGAAGTGCTGAACTGTGAAGGACTGAAATTGTTCACCTTACTCAGTTGATGAACATTAGATTCAGCACTATAGTCCCACTTCATAAATCCAAAGATCTTTTTCTGTTTTAGTTACCACTAGCATCTCCAGAAGTAATAATGCCCTTTCATACCCCAAAACACAGATTTCGTTTCTGACTCTCCTCTGATCAGTAGCATTGAGAATCAATACTTAACATTTATAACATAATCAGTATAGTCCAACCCAGCACAGTTCAACCCAGATCTGTTCAAATTCCTGGATTAGAGCTAATATAATGGCTTACCCATAATGAGATTACTTTCATGTTGGTGAATATGTTCTCAGTAATAATGCTGAAGAGATGAATAGGAACTTTTGATAAGAATGATCCAATACAGCGTAATTAAATATGTAAGCTAATTATGCATTCTTACACAAATAATAATGCTATTATTTTTGTTATGTAAGTGTTTTGTATGCACAGGGCCCAAAGGAACAGTTCAAAATTCCCCAAACACATGCTATTTTAGTGGGAATATTTGGAAGAAGAAAAAAGTTTGCTATAATTTAGGACTTGCACTTTGTTCAAGACAAATGAGAGAAGATGCAAAACAGAATGGAAAAGAAGCATGGTTAAAGTTCAAGTTTCAAGGAGCTTGAAACTGATTCAGCAGAAAAGAGGAAAAAATGCTTTGTGTCTGACTTTTTAAAAGTTGTGAAATGAGTTTGTGAGCAGAACCCACACTTTTTACTGCCCATTTGCTAAAACTGAATGCAAATGGCCAAATTTTGCCACTGGCATATGCCTAATATGGGTACATGATGATGACAGCAGCACATAAAAATTCATCAAGCGCAAACCTGCACATTTTTGTCCATTTCATGTTTTAAAATCAGACCCTTTATCTCCCAAATACATGTTTCCAACTATGCTGACTTCCACACAAACAAAACCAATGGCAGTAATTGGTACAAAAATCAGATAAGAGCATACATGCAAAGCTCAAAGAGATCAAAAAGTTTCTCAATTGGTAATGTGGCTTGTGTAGAACCTCAGAAACATTGGGAGTTTGTTTTTATAGAAATTATCTGAAGCAGCAAGTGCCAACAAACAGGGATTACTTCATCATAAGCATTTAGTTTTCCTTCTCAAGAAGAGGAGGACAGACAAGAGAAGCAGAGAAGAGTAAGAGGCAAAACTGGTTTCTTAATTGATCCAGGAAGGAGGAGGAAAAAGACAATGACGTGAGGGTGCCAATATTTCAGCAACCTGTGTGGAACTGATCCTACAGGAAGCAGGATGTGGTTTACGCAGCAGGCAAGAAAGGAGGGAAGAGAAAGACGTTGTCCATGAGAAAGACAATCCAGTTTGTACCTTTTCTGTTTGAAAGGTATTTGAAATTCAAGCTCGGATCTGAGGACTGAACCATTGCAGTTTGAGCTGCATCATGCTTTATTGTATGCAGCAGAATAAATGCTGCTCTTTGTTGTGTCCCAAAGCAAGCTGAAGTCGAGAGCCGAGGACCTCACATTCAAAAAATTATTCTTTAACAGATTCCCTTTCTCATCACACGCTCCTAGAGTGTTTTCGTTATGCTGTTTTAAGAACACAAGCAAGCAGTACCCCCATTGCAAACTATCACACATTTATTTAATGCTGTACCTGGTGCAATAGGATCATAGAAAATACTGCTATAAAAGATTAAACTCTCGCAACTATTCCTATGAAAGCATAGGATACAGTTGCAGCATTGCCCCCTCTTTAAAGAACATAGCCTGCATTAAATCAGGATGTATCTAAACTTGGCCAAACCCAGACCACTTAAACAGACAAAACAAGAAGGAAATAGATTCAAACATCACTTTTTCAATAAATCTGTCAAATCAAGAGGTTTCAAGGTTTACTTTTCTTCCTCTGCTATTTCTTCAATGACACATACAGCTTCAACAGTAGCTACCTAAGGTGTTAACGAGTCAGGATCCAAACTATCTTTTTCTTTTCTTTCTCTCAAAGAGTAATGTCATTGCAAAGCACCACACTGACCTGAAATTTAGTCAGTTTTTAAATGTGAGCTACAAGCAATTCAGGTGTAAGTAATTCAGGCAGCAGAGACACCTGCTCTCCATTCCACTGTTCCATCCTTACAGATTTTTTAATCTCATTGTCCATGACAAAGGCAAGTCTCCTTGCCCTGCTGCTGCTTGATGAAGGGCCAACACTCAAAACTTTGGAAAAACAAACTGCCTACAAGGAACAAAAAAGAAAGTGAAATCAAGTTGTCTGCAGCTGAAAGGGAGAGTGGAGGGATACTGAATCATCTGTCTGCCCTTCTACCACCAGTTTAAGCCAACCTAAGGCAGCCCAGCCCAGACACCCTCTCCTTGCCCCCAGCTGTGCATTCCTGTGGACTCCCTAATTCCTGCACAATATGTAGTCAGTCAGAACAAGGAGCTGATCCAGCAGAAAATTAATTAAGCAAAAACAAATACATAAATGGTTAAAAAAAGATTGCTTTTAAAAACAGAATCAGCTTCCTGACCTGTGTGTGGATGTAAGTGTTGCTACTGGCATTGGAAAGGGGTGGGGTTGCACAGCTGAAGGTCCAGGCTGGGGTGGGATGAGAAAAAACTATCTTTTTCAGGAGGAGCCTGGCTTTAGATCAGCTTAAATTGATCTAGAAACCACACCCTCGGCAAGAGAAAATTTAGGCAAATACCTGCCTGGTTAAGAGCAGGTTAGTGCTGCTCCTCAGGAAGTACAAAAGATGCTAGAGAGTTTGATCTTAACTGGGCATCCCAAATGCAACTGTTTAGGTATTGGTGTTTTCATTGGTGGGGAGCAATGGGAAGGCAGCTACAGGGGTGGTGTTTGAGCACCCCCATTAGCACCAGTGAGTTTAGCAAGTGCTCTCATGTTACCTAAGGTGGACGTGGCTGCACAACCTCTCTCCCTCCACCATCCTCCCAGAGCTTGAGCCTAAACATGTGTTAGGACTGAGCTAGGAGTTTAATTCTGGTTCCGCCACTATTTAAATAGCTCCGTGAGTCATTTTGATGTCATGCCTCAGTTTCTCTGTTATTGAGGTGCACATGCATGCATACAAACACACTAAATCACTCAACGTGTTTCCCATGCAGCTTTTTTGACTAGTTACCTGCCGTTCACACAAGGATTTTAAACATGAAGAGCTAAAAGAAGTGCTGAATATTAGTTTCCAGAACAGATGCAGGATCTGGTGCTGGATACTACTGGATATTGCTCGTCTGAAAACATCAGATGAACAATCTATCAAAAAGACAATGCTGACCTCCTTGATCCCCTGCTTCTCTTCTTCATCCTTTGCCTAAGGAACAAATCTTAATGTCAGCATGAACTTCGTGCATATATATATGGTTTCCAAAATTACCTCAGGCTGGATGCAGTGACCCAGATAAACCCTTCCATCCTGCCTTCCCCTTGCTTTCCAAGTAAGATTTGGGAAGCACTAGTCTACGTTTCTTATCTGAGATGATGATTATTATTATCAGTCACTGTTGCAGTTGCAGTAGACATCTACCTGGACTAATCAGGACTGGGGCTCCATTACTGTAGATGTTACACCCACTGAGTTTAAAAAAAAAAAGTCACTGCTTTAAAAAGTTGACAATCCATCTCAAGACAGTATTCCACAAAGGTGTGTACCAGAGAGCAGAAGGAAAGGGGAAGGTGAGAGAGCAGGAAAATGTAATGGCATAAACCACCCATGTGCAGAGGTTGATGGTTCCAATCCAAGTAAACGCTGCTGGTTTTACGACTCTTACATGATAATGCCCCCCTCGGATTTCCAATGCATCTCCATTAACTCCCCCCCGCTGCCAGTTGGAAAAAGTGACCTGGGGCTCTCTGCACACAGACAGACATGCCTACGTGTGTGAATATATAATTATCACATTTTAAATAATTTAGTGCTGTTGGTTTTGCCCTGGACAGTCTCTCCCCATCAGTACTTCTTTTAAAAAAAAGGGTGGAAGGGAAGAAAAAAGCATGCCTGTGTATGCACGTTTGTGCAGAGAGACGATATACTTGCATCTACAAACTCTCTGGGAGTTTGGGCCCCTTCCTTGTACATAAACCACCCTCCCTCCTGGGGTGTCTTCTCCTTAATTACGTTCACGTTAATTTAAGCACTTGGGACCGGCTCAACCTCTCCCCCAAGCCAGCAGCCTCCACAAACCTCCCGAAAAGCAACCCACTCA